CCCAGCTTGCGGTGCCTCCTGGGGCTCTTGCTCTCTGTAGCATTCAGTGTGCCCTGTGGACAAGGGTGGGATTGTGTCTAACAGTCCCTAATTCTGTCTTCACAAAGATCCCCACTTTGTGCCCCGCATAAGGGGAAAGGGCGTACTTCAGGGGAAAGAATTGCCATGTCTCCCAAACCGGGCTTACTCCCACTTCCTCCCTTTTGCTTCTCGTCTTTGCGCAGTTCTTTAAAGATGTGAATGAGACTCGGGGGAGAGCTCCCAGTCCTGCACAGGGGAACCAGTGTGCACATGGGGACCATGTGATGCTGAGTCTGCGCCCCTCCAACAGCAGGGCTTCCGAGGGCTCCCCTTTCGTGGAACTGCATCCGAAGACCAGATGGTAGCTCTTGCTATCAATGTGTTTCCGATTTCCAAGTTTTCTGTTAACTACAATATTTGGTTCTCATAGCTGTTGACAAGACTGATAATCACAAAAGTGGAACTGATTTGAATTTAAATGTAGTTATCAAGTCACTGCAGATGTAACATAAAACGCATGGGCCAGCCCTGTTGTCTTGGGCTTTCCTGGTTCCTCTGAGGCGTCCTTGCAAGTCACAGCACTCCTGCTCCCGCCCTTCCCTGCAGGGTCCGTGTGAGCAGTGGCTGAAGCATGTCTGTGATGCCACGGGTGCAGTTTGCGTCCTCCTTTCCGAGAACAGACGCTTGGGAAGTCAAAGTTGCACACGCTGTCCTGTACAGGAAGCACTAAACTTGGGGGTCTGATGGACCCTCTGGCTGCGTGACTCTGTACGCCATTCAGAGAGTTGGAGACTCTCCTTTATCAATGAGTAGGGCAGTGAGTGAGTGAGTGAGTGAGTGAGTGAGTGAGTGAGTGAGTGAGTGAGTGAGTATTGCTTCCAACATTTATCTCATGGATGAAGAGCCTGCTGAGCCACACATTGGCTGACTGAGCCCTTGACCTGCCAGCTCATTTATACTTAAGAAGTGAAGTGCAAGGACTTAGAGTTGTTTCCACCACGGAAGCTTTATTTCTGTGGGGGGGGTTCTGAAGTGTGAAGCACACAGCCAAGGTGGAGAAGGGACTCGCAGACACTGCTCAGACCACAGTTTAGGACACAGCCTCATTCACCCGGCAGCCACAAGAAGGGAGCATCTCTTCTGCTGCCAGGGGACTGGGCATGCGCAGTCTTCACACGGACCTTTGCAGTGGCAGTACTGATGGTAATCGTGGTCCCAGTTAACACTTACTGACTGCGTGCCAAACCCTGTAGTTTTCCCACTTAATCCTGAGCACACCCCTGTGGGATAAAGACCATAATTATTCCCAGAAAACCAAAGCCTAGTAATTCATCCAGTGTCACTAGAGGGGTCTTCGGAAAGTTCGTGGAAGTAATCCATTTTCTTTTCCACTCCATTTTCCACCACCCTTTTTTTGTGCCTCCTGTCTCATGCCTTCACTTAGAAAGTACCCTGCTTCTTTTGATCTAAAATCTCTATGAAAACTCCACCCGCCTTGCCTACGATCCTCCAGCGGCACACCCCTGTGCCTGTCTCCTCTCTGCACTTCATGAGTTGAGGATATGTGGAAAGCATCATCTACAGTTGCACTGAGATGTGCCCCGATCCCTGTTTGAGAACAAACTACCAGTTGTGGAGGGCCATGAGTTTCTTCTTCTTCCGGCCTCCCTAACCTGAACGTCCTCAGTGGTGTGGACCCAGGCTGGGCTGACATCTGATGAGCAGTGCCCGAGGGGGCTGTTGCTGGATGGCCACTGAGATCCCTCCTCTACCCAGGAAGATTAGTCACACACCTTAGGCTCCACCAAGGAGAAGCTTGAAGCGGGGAGGAAAAGATGGCCATGACTGGGGCCCTGGGCACTCAGGGTGAAGGGGTGAGAGTTACCAATCAGATGGTAGAAGGAACCAAAACATGCTAATTCGTGCAGCACGTTCAATGACCACAAGCAAGTCTGGGGCCACTTACTGTGGAAACAGCCCTGAAGATTATATTGCGTGGGTGCATTTTTCTAATTTCCCAAACATGCACACACATTCCCCAGGCACTCCTCACTCACCTGCCCAAGATTAGCGTGCGGAACCCTGGCGGCACCTCTCTAAACCAGCCCCGCAGTTCCTCCTCCTGTACAGATGAGGAAACGGACACAAACAGCTACGTGCCTCCAGATCCCATAGCTAGTAAGGATGCGAACTAGGTTTAGCACCCAGACATGAGGGGCAATCTTCATGATGGTGTTGTTTAGAAAATGTGACTTATTTCCAAGGTAGTGTGATAAAGAAAAAATAGTACATGTAAGAAATACTAATATGAAAAATCATTTTAAATGTGAGGCCTTTTTAGGAAAAGCAGTTTTATAAAACAAATAAACTCAAAACCCAAACTCACCGCCGTTGAGTCCATTCTGATTCATAGTGACCCTGTAGGACAGGGTAGAACTGCCCCTGTGGGTTTCTGAGACTGTAGCTCTTTACAGGAGTAAATACCTCATCTTTCTCCCATGGAGCAGTTAGTTATTTCAAACCGCAGACCCTGCCGGTAGCAGGCCAATATGTTACCACTACTTAATCACAGGGCTGGTTAGTCCCCCCAAACTGGAACATGTAGTATGCATTTAAAACAAAAGTGACAATAGCAACCGAAGATTACATATGTGTTTTTGGTTACAAATATGTATATAGGCATGGACGTATGTATAAAAGTATTACTTTGGGTACGTATAGATAGATATTTCTCTAGGTATATGTATATACAAGTATATGTGTGTCTTTGTTTATCCATATTATAATAAACCATTGAAAGGACATGCTATGGATTGTTCTTAAACATAGCCAGGCATCTTATGAGATTATTTTCTGTTTGTTTTAGTTTGAAGAGTTAGACTCATGGGACAACTCAGTAAATGGGCATAATGTATTCATAGTGTATGATCTACATCCTAATATGTTGAGTAGCATCTGGGATGTTAACAGTTTGGGAGCCACCATCTAAGATACTTCTATTGGTCTCTGCTCTTCTGGAAAAAATAGAAAGAAAGAAGGCAAAGACTCAGGAAAGCCTCCCTACCATTCTGATCCTGACGCAACAGGAGAAAGATGTGGAATAGAACTCAGGCTCTTTACAAGACTAGGTAATACTGCACTGACTGAAACTAGAAACCCCCCTGAGTTTGTTGCTTGCAGATACTCTTTAAACCTTACACTAAAATTATTTCTCGAGATCCACTTTCAGCTAACTAACAAAAGTGGTGAGTAAAATAAATACTGCTCCTTATGAGTCATGGACTCCTTTAACTTAAAGCCATCTTTATGAGACTATGTGGTCAATATAAAGCAAAGGGAAGAGGGAAGGAAACTAGCGTCCTGGAAATGGTATCGCTAGAATGGAATGAATGTGAGTGACGAGGATACATTGTGAAGGATGTAGGCAATGTTGCGATGATTGGCATAGAAACTGTTACATGGGAACTCCATTTGCTATGGAAACGTTCACCTTAAGCATAGTTTTTTAAAAAGATTAGAAAAGAAAAAAACCTTTTAAAGATGCAAATAGTAATAAACCTTGGTTTTCGTAAATCCTTATCTGTGGCTTTCTCCCCTTAGAGCCTCAGGGCAGGCTGTGGTGCAGACAGGGCAGGGTCTTGATGCCTCTGCTATGTGGGTCTGATTACAGACCAGGAAAGCTGTCAACTTGACAGCTTTCTTATAGGGTCCTGTAGCTCCTATAGGGTCCTATATAGATCCCATAGGGTCACTATGAGTACTCTGACAATCCAGAGAGGGCAGATACAGAGTGGACATCCTGTCCCTCACCATACCTCAGTGGAATACTTAGCCTAGTGGAGAGAAGATGGGATGTATTCCAAAGGAACAACAGTGTCTAGTCCTTACACCTCCAAGTGACTGCTTTTGTTGGATCTGAATCAAAAGCATCTTTGCCTTTCTTGTGTATGCGTCACATACCAAGCCTAGAACAGAATTCACTGAATTCTTATTTTCTTTTCTTGATCTGGGTTTATTCTCTTAATCTGCATGTTTTGATTTAAAACTCGACTTCCCTGGATTACACCAATTGTAAATTCCAGGGACGAGACTAGCCCATTGAATGATCACAGAGCGGCTATGCCATAGCCCCAGAGAAGGAGAGACTCTGGGCACGAGAATAGCCCCTAGACTGTGTGCAGGGTCAATGACTTCTTTCACATTTTCTTGGAAAGAAACTGAGTTCCATGTAAGTTTTGCACTGCTAGCCACAAGAGCCCTGGTTCAAACCCACCAGCCGCCTGCCTTCAGAAGGATGAGGCTGTCTGCTCCGGTAATGACGTACAACCATGAAACCCTATGTAAGGTTGCTGTGAGTCAGAATCAACTTGCTAGCCATGGGAAGGGAATAACCTTATGGTAACTTCTTGATGAAAAGCTAAGTCTTAGGATGCCTCTGTCATATGCAGTCACCATAAAGGACTTTACTGAGACACAGTAAAATTCCTTGAATACCTTGAAGTACTTAGTCTACTGGTAGTTGCAAGTACCTCACCTGGTCCTTATTCCAAACTTGGTCTTGAACTTGTACCTTTTTGATTAGCTGCCAAGTACCCTTCCCCAGGAGTCCGTGATGTATATATAGCTTATATACTCAGCCAACAAATATGTAGGGCACATCCACCGTAAACCCAGTAGAAAACCAAACCAAACCCCGTGCCATCGATTCCAACTCATAGTGGCCCTTTGTGGCATTTCTGAGACTGTCCACCTTGAAGAGAGCTGACAATTTCATCTTTCTCCTGAGGCGCGTCTGGTGGATTTGAACCACCAACCCTGCAGTTAGCAGTCCAACGCTGACCTGACTACACAAGTAATCAGTGTTGAATCCTGGATTCTTTTTCACAGAGACAAAGACCGAGAGAAAAGTGATGACCAGGAACTATTTCAGGCTCTGCTCAGAATTTCGCATTCACATATTGTTTTCTTCCTTCCCACAGGGTCGAGATTACTGTTCGGAAGAAGAGGATATCACATAGCGCCAATTCTACCACTCAAACCAGGAGCTACTACTGTGTAAATAAATAGGTTACACCCCAATTGAAATCTTTGGAAAGGTCGGTTCTCTGCAATGAACAGCGCTATTAACAAAGAAGATCGTTCCATATCGTATGCCCCATTAAAAATTACAGTGTTTCTTAATGAACTTGCAAAGGAATCTTGCTAAAACACACACACACACACACACCACCACCACAACAACAAACAACAACAGGAAACTATTATTGAACTTTCTTTGTTGCTGCTAGTTAAAACTTGTTGCAACTTCTCACTTCTCTCGTGTCCTGGTATGCAGCAGAATTCTGCAGCTTCACCTTCAAGAGACTGTTGGTTTTACAGCTGCTCTCCAACCTATTTTCTAGAAGATGAGGTAGTGGTGAACGCAGATCTCAAGCTTCTGTTCTAGGATGGTTCCGCTCCTCAGACAAGCGTCTCCTTCCCCCTCTCTCTTTCCTTTCTCCCGTCTCTCCCAAGTAGTCCGGAGACAGACCGAGCCTTGCTTCTCACTGGCAATGCTGAGCTTTGGAGGTGGGATGGTTGCTATGGCAAGCCTTGGTTCTCTGCTAAAAAGAAGTAAGAGAAGCTGTCACTGATGTAAAAGCATGTTGTGCTAAGACTCCTGGAAGTGACCAGGGAGCAGAGCAGCAGGTCGTTCCATTTAATAAATCTCCTAACCAAGGATTAAGCTTGTGACATTGGCTTTACTCAGATGCAGATGGAAGTGTGATCACAATCACTTTGAACCCCTCCGCCCCACTTTTTTTTCTAAGAAAATAAACATTTTACTGTTTTTATGTATCCTTGTCTTCTACCATTCATCCAGCTCAGTGTTTTCAGATGACCCTGGGTAAGGAAGCGGAGCCCTCCTTTGGCAGTGACGCTGGCCCGACCATCCCAGGCACTGTCTAGCAAGCATCAACAGGTCACGGCTCTCCATGGTCAGAAGAGATGGGGGACACCCCACCAAACACCCTTGTTGCCTTTCCTTTCATTGGCAAGGAAACCACCCCATTTCCTTAGTTCTTCCCTTCCAAATGCTACCTGAGCTTTACCACGCCCCAGTTCCTCTCCCTTCCAGTCCTGGAAACGGCAGGCGAGCCCGTCCGCTAGAAAATGCAGCCCAGGCGCATGTCCAGGTGAGGGCCCAAAGCCCCTGGTGGTGACGGGGATACTGACTGTCCTCCGTAGAGTTTATTTTTCCATGTTCTAGAAGAGGACGAGCTCTTCTCAAAAACAAAAGTAATATTTTTAACAAATGTTGTCACAAATAAATAGTGATTGAAGGGGGGAAATAACATTTGTATTTTTTTAATGAGTTTGATAGCTTTTGGAGAGGGTTCTCCTTGTTACTTTTGAGAGGAGAGGGGCCCTCTAATAAATGCCATGCCAACAGCCCAGGTTTGGGTTTGTCCCCCCCCCACCCCTGCACAACTCCCAAAACACAACAGTAAAAGCCTTCTCTCTCTCTCTCTCTTTCTCTCTCTCTAAATTGTGACTTTGAAGGGTCTCTATCAAGCCACAGGGCTGCCCTGCACTGGCAGGTCATACAGCCATTCTGGGTAGTCGGGAGATCACAGACGACTGTGTAGAATGAACCGCTAGACTTGTTCTTGCTGAGAGGAGCCCTGACTTCCCAATCCATCCCCGTCACTGCGCATGTGCTAACAAGATTTCTTTAGTCCTTTGAGAGGCGGGCAGCCCAAGTGTGGGGCAAGGCCTCCAGTCAAGTGTTACCGAAAACAGGCTCGAACGTTAGCAACACAAGCCCTCATTCTTCCAGCTAGCAGCAGCTATTTTAGGGAGCAGCTGTGGTTGTTACATAAATAGAGATGCAGCCAAAATTTAGGGCTTTAAAAAAAATTGTTTTTTTAAATCCCATTTCGAGCAGAGAAATGCAGGGAGAGCTGGGTAGCCGAGTCTTTTAAGTCTCCCTCCATCCGGATGGGTTTTGGCCAAGTGACCAAAATAGTTTTCCTCAGCTGTAAACACAAACGGCACAGCCCCACCTCAGACATGTTCACTGGGAATGGGGTCACTGGGGGGCGGATGGGCTTTTCCCGTATTTTGTGTTCACATCCAGGCCGGGGTGAAGCAGACGCTCAGCCTCTTCTGTTTCAGTTTGTTCAGGTCTCACCCGCGTCTCCCCAGAAAATCACCCCCTTTCTCCTGTGCCGTTTTCTTCCCGTCACGTGTGCACAGAGCCAAGTGCGTCTTCGGAACCCGATGTTGGCATGTTAAACAAAACCAAAAGCGGTGTACCCATGAGCCAGTGGCTTCTCACCTGGAGCTCTGCCTAGCTCCCAGAGCTGGGGCGGTTGAGCCGGACGGTGCGGAACGCTTCCTGGTTAGCCACGCTCTGAACTGTCTATCGCCCATTCCTTGGTGTTAATCCTAATATTGCCAAGTGACTTGTGCTTGTACTTTGTGGTTTTGTAATGCCTTCTGAAAGGATCTCAAGCAAAAATATTCGCCCTGCCCCCCCCCCCTTTTATTCTTGTGTATTCAAGCATGAAGCAGAGTGCCTCGCTGACCACAGGGGCTGCTGACGTGTTTTGGTGGCTGTTATCTCCCTAGGCCTCAGGGAGAGGAGGCAGATGGGAAGAGGCAGCGAGAGCTACAACGGGTGGATGGAGACAGAAATGGGCGGAGAAGCATTAGCAGAGAGAGTGGATAGGCTGGCTGTGTGCCAGGTACAGTCCAGCTGCCTGATGACCAGCGGGTGGGGCAGGCCTGTTGGCAAGATTTACAGCTGGAGGACACACACCGTATGTGCTCTGGAGTTGTAGAATTGTAAAAGTTCTGCGGTGTATATGAAACTCTGTTTCGGTTGGTGGCGGCTCAGGACCATGGAGTACTGCTCTCATAAGTGAATGTGTGTTTGTTACTGGCAGCACGCCTTCAAAGAGACTTTTGCCTCTCTGATGCCTCCTGGCCCCGGGGCTTGGGCAGAGAGCACAGAGTGGTGGTGTGGTCTATTTAGGCACAAAGGAGCTACCAAGTCCAGAGGCATGAAAACTAGGTCAGCCCTCAGCAGCAGCCACCCAATAGCCTGCTGGGAAGCAGGTCTCTCTCCATCTGCACTGCCCTTGTCTGAGATGGGCTTTGGTCTTCTGAATCAGAACTGACCTGCCTGAAGAACAGCCTTCGGGCCTAGGTTCTCTAGGCCTCCAGGCAAGCGCCCTCTCTGCAGAGGCTTACCTGCACCCTCTCTGGCTATTGCATCAGAATCGGAGTGCAGAGTAGGGATGCTCCTGGCTGCTAACTGCAAAGTCGGCAGTTCCAAGCCACCAGCCACTCCTGTCTTGGAAACCTACAGGTGCAGTTCTACCCTGGAGGGTCGATATGAGTCAGAATGGACTCAATGAAAATGAGGTTGGTTGGTTGGTTGGTTGGTTGGTTGGTTGGTTGGTTGGTTGGTTAGTTGGTTGGTTGGTTGGTTGGTTTTTAGTAGACGGTCAGCACCCAGGAGCATGCCCAGGGCTGAAGGTGCCCATTTCATATTTCCCTATGATGCCTTCCCAGCTTTACATTATAGCTTTGCCTTCCTGCCGGCCTCATTGCCGCTTATTTTGTTCTCTGAGGGGCAGATTCTCCCAGAAGGCAGGACCTGCCTGCTAAAAACAGAGATGATACCGTCTGTGACTCTTACCTCATTAGCCTGTGCAGGGATGATGTCCAGGGAGCATTAAACTGTTAATCTTCCGGCAGTTCAAGCCCACCAGCCACTCCTAGGAAGACAAATGAGGCTCTCTGCTCCTGTAAAAGTGTACAGCCTCTGAAATCCTCTGTCAGTCGCTGTGGGTCCGGATTGACTGGATGGCAGTGGAGGTACCCTGAGCTGCAGGGGGAAGTTCATTAGAAGTCCTCCGTAGACACTGGACAAGAATTGACAAGCAGGCCCCACTTCTACCACTTTTAGGGAGACTCATACTGCTGACTCACACTGTGGAGCGGGATTATCAATTTCTTAACCCCTGAAAACATTGGCTCTGAATCTTGGCCTCAAGACCGGGACGTGTTCTTTATTAATGGCAACACTATCGGTATTGAGGGGCTGCTCCTTCCCCTCCTACCTGCCTCCAAAGGGCAGAATTGGCCTTTGAAAATGTTCAAATTTAATATGAAAGTTGCCTCCCATGCTTTCTCCCCCTAGAAATGATTCTCAGAGCATTCTTTCTTTGTATGTCTCAGAAATTGGACTTTTTATTATGTCATATAAAACTCCATGGGAAAAATAATGTAGTGTCGGGGGAGAGAATGCTGTGGACATTCGGGACACTTGGGAAGGGAGGTGTAAAGTGGGAGTTGGGACTTTATGACTCCACCGGTAAATGACTGGACCCCAGACACCTCTGTGATGTTTGTCAGTCTACAGATGCCCCTGCAGTGCTCCTTTGAGCAGTCTATGAATTGCCTTTACCAACAAGTATTCCTTTATAATCAAGCAGAGGGGTGGGGGTGTCCTTGACTTCGGCAGTACCCTTTCTTTTTTTTTAATGTCTCTGGAAAAGAGTTAAAAGCTGCGTAACAAGATGAGACCTGCTGGTGAGTGTATTTAATTCTTTCCTAGGGAGCTAGGACTCCCTAGCTGTGCCATGTTTTTCAGGTGACTCACGAGCCTTGCTCAGATCTGCGCCGACCTGGGGGTCGGGGAGAGCAGGAAGAGAAGCTAATGCTTATTATGTACTACGTGCAGATTCTGTGCCAGGCAGTTTATAATCGCCTTCTGTAATGCTCCCAATCATTCCGTCAAGGGGATCTCTTACTCCTGTTTTCTAAGGCGTCTCTCTTAAGCGTAGAATGCATCTAGCCAACCTGAGTGCTTGGATGGAAAGAAGGAAAGATGTCATTCAAGTGTTTTCAAAAATAAAAATTTTTATTAGTTTTTCGCCTTGTCCAGCACTGTGAAAACTTCCCTTTGGGAGACATCTACTTTCTAGGACCTCTCTTTGGCTCATCCCCAACTTTGCTTCCTCTTGGGGAGTGTTTCACTTGGCTATCCTGCTCGGATGAGCTACACCTAAACCTCGGTAGGCCACCGGCTAAAGGGAATGCTTTGGTGCCCAGAAGGAATGGGCTTTGGGAATATAGGCGTGTGTGTCTCCATGAAATCCTTTTGGCATTTGGAAAAAGGGCATGGCACTTGTGCAGGCAGGAACCAAATGCAGCTAGAACCGGCTTAGAGGGGCTTTGATTTCTGCCCTGGCTTCCCAAGGCTTCTTGTTCCATTATAGGCTGCACCTGTTAGCCTTCCCACACCCCACCCCTCCAAACCACAACCCCCCTTCATCTTGCAGAGAAGTCTGATAGAATCTGCTCTCCAGCAGTGGAGGAATGGTGATGCTTGGACCATTGACTTATATTGAAATCCTCATCTTTTTCGTGGGCTAGGGCTGTGGCGACGGGAAACAGATGAGTATGGTGTCTGTTTTTCAGCCTTGGATTGGAGACCTGTACTTTCCAGGCCAGGTTATGCATTAACGCTAGTTGTGACTCAGTGGTTTGGGTAGCCACCCAGCAACGCAAATGACCATTTAACTGAATTGTTCCAAGGTCAGAAGATGAGCCACAGAACTCGCCGTATGCCCTCTTTGCTTCTTAAGGCACATCCAATAAAGATGATTTCTGTGTCCATAGCAACGGTTGAAGGTGCTACCTAGAGGGGCTCTGGCCCCACCTTCATTGGTTTAGCTGGAAAGAATCAGAATGTCGTTGTGTAAAGGGAGGCCCAGTTTTCCTGTGAAAACTCTCAAGATCCTTGTTTTCTAATGCGGCAGCTGCCACATTCCTTCAAGATG